TGGACTTAGACTGGATTGTATATCATATTTGCCTTGTTGATATAAATTTTCATCTATGTAAAGTATTGACGTGCTTTATGATTTGGATTGACATCTTGAATATATTATAAAATGTCATCATTATAGCTGAATCTACTGATCATAACAAGTACAATGTATGATGTCTGATACAATTGCTGAATCACATTAACGTATTCTTTGTGGGACTTGCAGCTAGCAAAATCTTAATCTTCTTCTAACTTCAGGATAATCTTTGTTAATTCTCCTTAGGAACTGTTATCTGAGAATTGCAGACACAATGTTTAGACAATTTCCTATTCTTTATACGTGTGAGATTTTCAGATTGTTGAGGATATGTTTTCAATTGTATTGTACACAGACCCTATCACACATAGTTTTTGTTTACTTTGTCATCAAGAAAAAAATAATTCACTTCCATTCAGCTATAAAGGGGTTAAAGGTTTGAGGCAAGGTACATATGCCTACCTTCAGCACCACTGTCCTTACCTAATCCAGCTTTGCCCCCAGTACTTGGATAAAATATTAAGAATCAATAATGTCTTTCTGCATCAAGTGACAGACTTTTTTGCAAGCATACCCCCCAACCAACTGACTATAATTTACCCACTTTCCGAGCCAATGGTGCTTACAGGTATGGGGAAAGCATGTGACCTTCCCTACTTCCTCCCAGGGAGCAGTTGTGGAGCCCGAATAGTCAATTGCCAAGGCCAAACACTGCCATGTGAAGGAGAGGAGCGCAGCTCAAGGCACAAGCTGGGAAAGGTCCTGTGCTAAAATGAAGTAAATGCTATGCACATGCACTGTTACATCATCCCACTCCAGCCAATCAAGAGGCCGAAAATGCTGAAAGTTTCCTTAAATATAATAGCACCCTGCCTCAGTACTTCTCTCAAGAGCCTAAAGCCCTCATGAATAGGCTAGCTCTTGGGAGTAGTTATATAAATATCAAAATGCCTTGATGGGTAGATGGCAGTCTGGAGGACAGTGCCCTTCATTCTGGACGGTGGCTACTACTTTTGTTCCCCATGGTCCCTGTGTGTGTTGTAAAGTAGCCACCGTTCCAGCTCGAGACGGGCTGCATCTTAACGAGGAAGGTGTAGCACTTTTGGGGGAAAAATGGTTAAAAGACTGGAGGAGCTTTTCAACTAGATAAAGAAGGGGAGTTAATAAAAATAGATAAAATTAATATAGAACAAGTAACTACAGGGGTAATTAATATAGAGGGCAGTAATACAAGGGGGACAGAGGGCTCACTCCAGTCAATATAGATATAGATACAGATCACCCAATCACTCAAATTAATCTAAGTAGTAAGGTATCGCCCATACCTGTCAGAATGTTTATACTGCTCTGATATACAGTTCTATTTATGGAAACAATTAAAAATCTATGGTTAAGGAGATTCCCAATGTATTTCCATAAATCAAAATTTACGCGAGTTCTTTCATTTGCGCTGACTTCGAAGACAAAAGGAATACCAAAGTATACAAAATATAAATATTTATTTATCAAAAATCAGTGCAAAAATAATAATAAAATATAATTGGTAACGAACAAAGAATATGGATCAGATAATATCAATCAATTTGATAACACGGGTAATGCATAAAAATGTAACCACTGGATATTGTTCAAAATATAAATGTAACCAAGAAAACACGACTTTTTAAATGTAATGGGTATCTTCTCAGTATTACACAGAATAAGAAAACGAAAGGCTCAGAATTGACATGTGACTTCTCTCAGCACAGATATTTACCAACTCTAACTTTCACAGCGCATGGGCGATATTTATCCCATCATGCACAGGGCTGGCAAAAAGCCCAGACCAGTCAAAGTAGAGAAAAATTACCACCAGTTTAATTCAATATATATATGACTAGACCATTGACTAGAAACTGAAATCAGTTTCCTGGAGATTATACAAATGTATAAAACAAAAGTATATCATTATCTCCCCAGATTGAAAGACACAATTTTTACTGCAGTTAAAAATTATCTCAGATCAATCTAGATCCTACAAGAACTTAATGGTTTACCTGAATATATATATATATGTGGCTGATGATAAAAAGTATACTTTACCAGCAATTTAAATTTAGTTGTTTTGGAAGAAGTCAGCAGTCAATGCTCAGCAACCAGGGAAAGTCAGGTTCTCTTTAGTTCAGTTTCCTGGGACAGCCGTCCTCAGCCTCTGACCTATCCCCTTGGAATGTATTTGCTTACTGCCTTGTCTTGTTCGACTCTCTCTGATGATGGAATTCGAATCTCCCTCAGCTTCTGGTCCCCTCTCTATATCCCCCCCTGAGGTGTGGGCTTAGTTTGATCTATCACGTGATTACTGACGTGGAACCTTTAGGTACCTCGGCTTATATTCGGGACGGCTTATACTCGAGTATATACGGTAGTGGGGCGCAAGAAATGGGTAAACATGTAACCCATACTAGTACAAAAATCAAATGTATGTACACCAATGCTAGAAGCTTAGCAAATAAATTAGTAGAGCTCTAAGTTATGCTACTCGAATAGGACTTCAATATAGTGGGAATAGCTGAAATTTGGCTAGATAGCACGCATGACTGGGCTACCAATATAGAAGGGTACAACCTGTTCAGGAGGGACAGGGTTGGGAGAAAGTGGGGGTGGTGGGTTATGCATGTATATTAAAAATATCCTAAATAAGCACATACGTGATGATATCACGGCAGAGAACATTGTCCTGACTCTATACACTGGCATATGTTGCATAGTCCTGACCACTGCACTCTATACAAACTAATTTGTCTTGACTTCTGCACAGTTGTGAGTGTTGAAATCTTTACCATTCTTTATGGCATAATATATGCTACTCAATGAAGGGGGCACACTGACCACACAGACCTGGCCACAACATACAACTTTTTTTTAATAAAATTTTTCTTTAGTATAGACTCAGACAAAGTGTTTTCTCTATCTTTACATTATGTGTGCATAAAACTATATGCAATGAAGGAGGTAATCAATATTGTTATTATTATATGCTGCAGAATGGCTTTCCTTGGTGTCCCACATCTTTTACAATCATAGCAGTGCCCCTGTAGGTTTGTGAGATAGAAGTAGTTGGTTACAGCTGAATTGCTGCAATTAAGATATATGCAACTATTCACTTGCTGTAGTGTCCAACAATCCTATACGCACAATTAGTAAAAACTCATACACATGGCCATCAAGGCATTACCAGTCCATTACCTATATAAAATAGGACATTTCTGTAGATAGAGGGTGGAAAAGCAGTGAACTATACTTAGAATTGCAGGTAAGATACACATACTGTACCAGGCAGTTAGGCACTAAGGCACTTAGTGGCTTTCAATAACAACAAGCTTAAACTACACTAAAGGTAACACACTTCTGTGTCTCAGTATTGCCTGATATAAACTGGCTCTAACTTTCAAAAGCTTGGTCTCTGAAATTTTTTTCTGACTGTACCTCACACTGACTCCATTTTTGTTGCATGACATCTATATTTCACAATCATTTCTGATCATGTTGTTCCATGTTGAAATGATTGCAACATGCATTTTCAGCAGATTTGCCAGCTGCACATACATTCTGCAAATCTCTTCTATCAGACTCCAAAGGTCTATTTATCTATTGGATGTTTTAAGTCTGGTCACTGGTATTCCATATGTGTGCTTTAGCAGAAACTGGGATTCATCAGACCAGGCTACATTTTTTCAGTCTCAACTTTCTGTTTTTGGCTAACAGAAGTGGAACCCGCTACCTCGGGTGTTGGTCATGTGATGTATTCAAAGATCACAGTTGTAAAGAGTGGTTAGCAGAGTTACTGTAGCCTTGTTGAGTCTTGCAGCTCCAACAATGCAGGCAGAGGATACCTTGGCTAGAACATACAGAAAAAAAAAAATAACACAGAGAGCAAAGACCTAGTGTTTTTACACAAGAGTAAATTACAATACAATTGTATGTAGAAAAGGAGCTTTAAAACACTTGGACTCATGTCATCCAAGAACCAGGATAGAGTGCAATACTTGGCCATCCCTAAATCTCCCAATTAATCGGAGTGCCTTATCCTGGTTCTTGGATAAGATGAGTGATATGTCCACATTTCCAAGTGTTACAAAGCTAATTTTCTGCATACAATCCTGAGTGTATTTTCACCCTCTTATAGTATTCCACTCTTGGGTTAATACACTACTAGGCAGGGGCTGACTGGCAACTTTTAGCCCAGGGGTCTACTAGGTCTTTGCACTTTGTGTTATTTTTTTCTGTATGTGTCAGATCAAAATGGACTAGCATTAAGACATAGAGGAAGCTATTAAAGCTGCTGAACGTTATACCAGTTAGCAATTTTATTTTTTTGAGTGAAGTCAGTTTAGATCTAGCAGCAGAATGACAGGTGAAAAGAGATCAGGATCTACAGAAAAGAGACAAAACACTGCATGTCTTCCAACATGCAAACATCTCTTGTTTATATGATCTTGATTAGCAAACTTTCTGATGCAATGAAAGCTTTCACTTTAATAATTAAAGCTTTCACTTTAATTATATGCTCGCTTACAAAAGCAGTAGGGCCTATAAAAAAGGTGCCATCTTTCACTTGTATGTAGGGCACAATGACCTCCAAATACAGCCCAACTTATATGGCGAAACATAAGGAGACACATGAGAATTATGTGATGGGAGAGACAGGCAACATCAAAATGCAAATCACAAGTCAGGAGTGGTAGTCTGAAAATTCATGGGTACAAAACTTCCAGATAAATTCACCCAGGCTGAAGGAAAATACCAGAAAGATTGTAATAGGCAAAGTTTTACAGTACACAACAGTAGTAAGGGAATTCGGGTTAGATTTTTTTTTCTTAAGAGGTAGAGGTTTTACTGCATTGTAAGGCTATAGTAAAGTACATTTTTGTCAACTTTTCATTTGTATTACTCTACAGGCTGAACAAATAACCTATAATGTTTTCCTTTCTGCATAGGTGGGGTCCATACTAGTGGAAAACTGGAGGAAGGACTAGGTGAGTTTAAGCACAAAATTGCAAAGGATCACCCTATGGTATTATTGTACATGAAATTAAAATAAAAATGCAAATATGTTTCACTAGTCTAACCAATCAACTTGAATATCTTTGACTTAAAGTGGACCACTGAATAAAGTTTCCTGGCAACCAATTCCTTAAAGTGGACCTTTAGCTTTTGCTTTGCATCCTGGGAAGGTTACATCAGCAGAGCATTGCTGCAAAATCGCATCTGTAATCTCATGAGAGCTCAAGGAAAGGCGTTTTCCTCCTCTGAGATGATGTACATGTCACATGTCCTAGTCACATGTGCCAGAGTTCCAGGAAATAAAGGGAGATCTAGTAACTGCCTTTAATTAACATGACCACTGTCAGAAGAATGGGAAAGAAATAAGGTATGCAAAGAATACAAAGCCTGCAATTATCTAGAAGTATGTGTTTGTAGATTTTCATTACTAAACATTTCTAAAGGGGTCAAAGGAAATCTCACCGCTCCAATTCCTTAGCCACCATCAGGACTCCCCAGGTCCAATAGGTGCATCTCCACCTTGGAATGTAGTAGGTATACGAACAGACCGCACTATTCAGAGAATTCCAATACCTCAGGGCCTGTTCACACGACGTCCGTTTTGTGTGCTGACCGGCTCCGTACGCTGCTGCACTCAAAATGCATCCCTATGTGTTTTATGGGCTCCAGTTCTCACGTGCGCAGTCCGTTCAGCTTACGACAGAAAAAATACTGCATGTCACATTTTGTCAGGTCCGGAAACGCAAACGCGTCAAAAATGCACTGCGCTGCAGCTAACATAACACATCACCCGCAGGCTTATTCATAGAGGTCATAGTGCTGGCATTTGTTGCTTTATATACTTTTATTCACTGTTATACTGGATTTGCTGTGAATTTCAATAAAGTCTGAAGTATTGGAATTCTCTGGATAGTGCAGTCTGTTTGTATACTACTACATTTCTTAAGGGGTGTTTGTTGTTATTTGTTAGAGCCGTGTCCATACAGAAGGCTACCGTGTTGCCAAAATGTAACAGGGAAATGTCTTAAATATATTTGAAGGGTGTCAGCTGGAAAACTGTCCAAACCTAGTTCATATTGAATGAAGGTAGGGGGTACCTGGGAGATCCACATAAGTGACCTCCTAAAAAAAAGTTGCAAATTAGAAAATTTGCTGCCAAGGGCCTCTGAAACAGAACACCCAGAGCACAAAGCTAACCCTCAACAGTATTAAGGGTCAGGGACCTATCCACCTCAGACTCGAGAAATAGAAGAATACATCACACAGAGAATCTACACAGATGAATCTTGCTCGATTCACAACAGAAACAAATATGTTTTCCTTATCCAGTGATACACCTTTTGCAAGTTGGCCTTACAAGCCCTTAACATGGTTGGGATAGCCTCCTTTGATAGCCATGCTGTTAGAGCCAGTGATCAGGAAGCAGAATGATAAATGGCACCCGGAGACAGGAGATCAAGATGGTCCATAAAAGAGAAATGGATCACTGGAAAGCTGATGAATAAGATCTGGGTACCCAACTCTCCTTTTCCAATCTGGAGCAATGAGAAGCAATGGAATTCTTTTTGCCTTTGATTTTGTGAAGCGGATAAGGAAGCAACTTTAGGAAAGGGAATTAATAAATAGGATTGTAATGATTCCATGGAACAAATCAAGCTTTTGCAATCTGAGTCCACATTATTTTGCAATCTGATTCCACAGCTTTTGCAATCTGATTCCACATTCTGGAGAACTCAACTCTAACACAATGCTCAAAAGCCAAGCCTCCTCCAGCGACTGTCACTGCGACTGGGCACCCAGGAACCCTCCCCAGCCTTGCAAAATAACATTTGTGATCACTACCTTCCCCTTCAAAGGGTAGACTAAACTGCCTGATATCAAGGCCAGAAACTAAAGCTACCAAGGACAGCCACATTCTGGCCATCTCCAGCGAGGATGTTCCACTGCAGACATCTTGTGTGATACTGGGAGAAAGGCACCACCTCAAAGGAGGCTACCATGAGACCCAGAATCTCGAAGATCACCAAGGGCATTTGTGCAGCTGATGAACCTGAGACCGAAGCTTCTCTGGTATCTCTTGAGACAGAAAAACTATAGTGAGAAAGTTATCCAACACGAGACCCAAATACTCCAAGCCACACTTTGGTGCTAGAGAGGAAATATGCAGATTGAGAATCCAGCTGAACGTACACAATTACATACTTGTTAAGGTTGAATAAAGACACAGGTCCATCGATTTTAACCTTTTTGGTTGTGTGTGTGTTTGTTACTTATATTACCTGTACTTCTATATGTCTTGCTTGCTGAGAAAATAATTTAGAAGGGAGTTCAACAATTTTACAGTTCTCACAGTAAAGAATACCCTTCGCAATTTCATATTAAGGGGGTTATTTACTAAGCTGCCAAGAGCCGAAGTAAAGGGAGCCGCATGCCATTCGGCTATTTATTTCAGCAGAGTATGGCTGATTTCAGCCGTACACCGGCTGGCTTCGGTTCCCTTCAGTTCAGCCGAACATGCTCAGCATGTGTGGCTAAGCCGAAGTGAAGAACACTTTCAACACTGACCTAAACCTCCGGCAGTTAACTCGCTGCCGTTCGCCCCTATTCTCATAGGGGCCGAACAGCAGTGAGTGAATAGCTGAATGCTGCCGAGGTAGCGAGCAATGCCAAGGAAATATGACCTGGTATGGTGGAGGAAGGGGGGGC